GGTTAAAAATCATTGTTTTGCTCCCCCCCCCCCCCCCCCCCCTGAGTGAACAGAACCATTAGATCCCCCCCCCCCCCCCCCCCTTTGTAAACTTTCAGTTAGCRGACCCCCCCCCCCCCCCCCCCCTTTAATGCATTTCGCAGTTGGAATTGAACTCCTACTTAAAAAGACTGGATCATACAAGCTAAGACCCCCCCCCCCCCCCCCCCGACATACTTAAAACAGTAGTTGTCCCCCCCCCCCCCCCCCCCACCAGGGAAGACAAGTGTATTTTCCCCCCCCCCCCCCCCCCCATATTATCAGCCCCTCACTTTCCCCCCCCCCCCCCCCCCCCCAACTTCATTGAGGTAGCCAGCTTCCCCCCCCCCCCCCCCCCCCGTTTTTTAATTTTAATTTGGATCCCCCCCCCCCCCCCCCCCAGAAGGAGTAGATAGGTGTAATCCCCCCCCCCCCCCCCCCCCGAACTGAACAAAAGCACTTTACATTCAGTTTTATTTCCTCTTCTTCCTGTTTAATTGTTTTGTTTCCCCCCCCCCCCCCCCCCCATKTTAGTTTCACAAGACATTAGCCCCCCCCCCCCCCCCCCCGATTACTACCCATCATTCAGTAGCCCCCCCCCCCCCCCCCCCTTAACCCTGAGAAGGATCAAAATCCCCCCCCCCCCCCCCCCCAAAAAGAGCACCGTAAAAAAGTACCCCCCCCCCCCCCCCCCCGTTTCGGACGTTCATCCTTCGTCCCCCCCCCCCCCCCCCCCCGAAAAAATATTGTATGGTCAGCTCCCCCCCCCCCCCCCCCCCGTGTAAAAATAGATTTAACGATACCCCCCCCCCCCCCCCCCCCTATTGAAACGTCGCCGGTGAAACCCCCCCCCCCCCCCCCCCTGTATATTTGATAAATGATATCACCCCCCCCCCCCCCCCCCCTGTTTTCCAGGGTCAACTTTGTTCCCCCCCCCCCCCCCCCCCTCAGCAATTCATGGAGTAGAACCCCCCCCCCCCCCCCCCCCCCCTGAAAGCTTTTAACCACTTAGCCCCCCCCCCCCCCCCCCCCTGTCTCGTCTTGAAACTGAATACTTTAAAAAAGACAGATGATTAATGTATGATATCACTATATCCCCCCCCCCCCCCCCCCCCAAAATTCACTAGGTCACATACTCCCCCCCCCCCCCCCCCCCCGCAGTCTTCGAGTTAACTGCGTCTCTTTGCCGGTAAGTTAGCATAATTAAAAGTAAATTGAAATTCCCCCCCCCCCCCCCCCCCTTATTGTTTTCTTTCTGTTGTCTCCCCCCCCCCCCCCCCCCCCAGACTCTTCTCGTAAAGTATTTCCCCCCCCCCCCCCCCCCCCTCATCGTGCGGTTAAATGAGGACCCCCCCCCCCCCCCCCCCTAAGGATTCACTCTTTTTGAAGACCCCCCCCCCCCCCCCCCCCRAATCTATTATTGATGTTTCGTTTTTTTATCTGAGTATGTCTTTTATGCAAAATTCATAGTGCCCCCCCCCCCCCCCCCCCCCGARCTGCATTTGAAGCAATTAACCCCCCCCCCCCCCCCCCCCACTTATAAAATCTCATTAAGAATCAGTATTATCTTGATAGACAACGCCCTTTTTGAGCAATTACTCCCCCCCCCCCCCCCCCCCTAGGTGCGCAATTATCATGTTTGCCCCCCCCCCCCCCCCCCCTTTTCCGCATTTGAAAACCTACATGTTTGCCTTCTGTGTTTTTGTTTCCGTTCTTTTTGTTTTTATCATGTTCATGTGTTTGTCAATGGTCAATTGATACTTGGTTCCCCCCCCCCCCCCCCCCCCTTTCTCAGTTTCGCATCTCCGCACCCCCCCCCCCCCCCCCCCCAGATAGTACTCCCACCTGCAAGAAGATTCCAGTCTAGAAGCATAGAAAGAAAACTAAGACGATACCCCCCCCCCCCCCCCCCCATGCAAACCTCCGTTTTTTGAACCCCCCCCCCCCCCCCCCCCAAGAAATGAATCATATTCACGATACTTGGGGAACATTGCTATTAATACATTAATCTGCGGTGACGCCCCCCCCCCCCCCCCCCCAATAAGTAGTTGGCCCTYATTCTCCCCCCCCCCCCCCCCCCCAAATGTCTTTGAACTGATGGCTTCCCCCCCCCCCCCCCCCCCTTCATCTAGAAATGTCGTTTTTGCCCCCCCCCCCCCCCCCCCAGAAGTTTCTTTTTATTAACACCCCCCCCCCCCCCCCCCCCCAATTTCCCATTATGTTTCTAGCACCCCCCCCCCCCCCCCCCCAATTATAAACTTGGAACGTTGTTCCCCCCCCCCCCCCCCCCCCTCGGCCTTTAGGCGGCCATCTTCCCCCCCCCCCCCCCCCCCT